TTTTACAGATTCAGACTAACACGGCTACCCCTCTGATACTAGATTTTTTATGTTAAAAAGGGATATTCATATCTTCTCTAAGGGGTTATAAATGCTAAGTATGATTATTATTACTAATAGAATATTCCATGTTTTAGTTCACTGACAATATTGCCGAAGTCCTTATGACGTTATAACTTGAATAATACTAGAGTTGATTTTCTAAGGGCAATTTACAGATTGATTTTTTTAGGGGAGGGGGTATTCCTTCTTTGAGCAAGTTAGTGGGGACAGGGGTGAGAAGCAGTAGATGTGCTATATATTGATTTTAGTAAGGCTTTGGTCATAGTCCCACATGACATTCTCATAAGAAAACTAGGGGAATGCAGTCTACATGGAATTACTATAAGGTGGTTGCACAACTGGTTGAGAGACGATACTTAAAGAGTAGTTATCAATGGTTTGCTGTCAAATTGGGATGGCGTGTCTACTGGGATCCCACAGGGTCAGTCCTGGGTCCAGCGCTATTCAATAATTTTCATTAATGATTTGGATAATGGAGTTGCGAACAATGTTCCCTCTAGTTTTTTTCATCCATGTGTGGAATAAATTTTGTTATGTGCACCGAGATGAAGTGCGACACCAGTAGAAACAAAAAACCTAGATATACTATGTATATTTTTAAAAGTTACCATAGGGATAATTACTCCAGCCAGGATAGGTTAGATATTTTAGAACTCAAAGAATTAAATTAAAGTGTAAGAGAGAAATAAAAATTATGAAATGCACAGACCAGTCAAAAAACTAAAACAACAGCCCTTTGAAAAAATAAAATTACAGAGAATATATGTGCATTGCAGGAAGTACCAAGAAGTAACAACAACAATAATACAAGTATGTGTTGGGAGGTGAGTGTGAAAGAGAGAGAGAGAGAGAGTGTGTATGAGAGAGAGAGAGACACACACACACACACAGAGACAGTGTGTTTGCTGGCTGCTGGGGAAGTTTCTGAGAGACACCGTGCACTGTCTCTTTAAGGCACTCTCACTGAAAGCTCTCCTGCTCCTGAGCCCTGTCCCCCCTTCCCCTGCGCTGTGGAGATGGGGTACATAGGAAGGAGGGAGAGGGACAGCGTGTGTGTATGTGTGTGTGACAGAGAGAGATTGTGTGTGCTGGCTGCTGGGGAAGTCTCTGAGAGACCATGCGCTGTTTCTTTAAGGCACTTACTCACAACCCTGGGTTACTCACTGCCCAGAAAGTTTGTTCAGACCTCAGAAGCTCTCCTGCTCTGAGTCCTGAGCCCTGTCCCCCACCCCTGCTCTGCAGAGATGGGGTACAGGGGCGGGGGACACGCTCACGTTAGCGCCCCCTCCCATCCCCTGCTCTGCACAGCCAGCAGGAGGGTCCTGGGAGCAGCTGGCCAGGGACACCAAGGCAGAGGGCAGGAGCAACGTGGCTGCAAAGCAGCGGGGGCAGGGGCACCTGAACACAAACTGCCAGATGTGCTAATCAAGAGCGCGGCACTTGAATCACTCCTGGGCAGCTGCTCGACCACACAGCTTAGAGGGAACACAGGTTGCGAGTATACTTATAAAATTTGTGGAGGACAAGATTAGGATTCAGAACCACCCTGACAAACTGGAGAATTGGTCTGAAATCAACAAGATGAACTTCAATAAAGACAGTTGCAAAGTACTACACATGGGAAAGAAAAATCAAATGCACAAATATAAATGGGGACTAACTGGTTAGGCAGTAGAACTGCAGAAGAGGATCTGGGGATTATAGTGGGTCACAAATTGTACATGGGTTAACAATGCAGTGCAGTTGCAAAAAAAGGCTAATAGTCTGGGGCATACGGACAGGAGTTCTCGGAGCCCAGTTTAGAAGGCAGGCTTCAGGCTTGCTCCTTCATCAAGAGCTTGAACATTATTTCCTTGTTTTTACGAGATCTGCTCTTGAACGAGGCGCAGACCATACACTTAGCCTGTATATAGGTGTCTCCCAAACAGACACGAGAGTGTCCATCACTTACTGGGGCAGCCTGTCAGCAGAAAAGACAACGCTTAAAGCCTGGGGATCCCCTAGTTAACTAAAATCCCAAACCAGCCCTTCAAATGGGGAACCGGCAAAGGGGAAACAACAAACTCCAAACTAAACTAACTGCACTAAGTAGAAGTAAAGCTCCATCTCAGGCCAAAGGTGGTTAAGAAGGAACTGAGGGCAGATTTCCCGCACAGCCCTATGTTTCCCCAGTATGGGTCATGAGGATGTGTGGGGTGTACGTGTGGGTAAAATGGGCACTGCTACCAAAATTCTCCAATCAAAGGCATGGGGGCGGACACTCACAAGAAGACCAACTGTCCTACCTTCAGTGGACATGGAGAACAAGGAACAGGCTTAAACTGCAGTAAGGGAGATTTAGGTTAGGTATTAGGAAAAACTTTCTAGCTCTAAGGGTAGTTAAGCACTGGAATAGTCTTTCAAGGGAGGTTGTAGAACAGGGGTGGGCAAACTTTTTGGCCATGAATGCTCACAAAAGTGGGGTTGGGGTGAGGGCTCCGGCTGGGGGTGCAGGCTCTGGAGTGGGGCTGGGGATGAGGGTTTTGGGGTGTAGGAGGGTGCTCCAGGCTGGGATCGAGGGGTTCAGAGGGTGGGAGGGGGATCAGGGCTGAGGCAGGGGGTTGGGGCATAGGGGGGTGAGGGCTCCGGCTGGGGATGCAGGCTCTGGGGTTTGGAGGGTGCTCCGAGTTGGGACCGAGGGGTTTGGAGGGGGATCAGTGCTGGGGCAGGAGGTTGGGGCGCGGGGGGGGGGGGGGCTCGGGGGTGCAGGCTCGGGGCGGCGCTTACCTCAAGCGGCTCCCGGAAGCAGCGGCATGTCCCCCCTCCGGCTCCTACCCAGATGAGCGGCCAGGCAGCTCTGTTGCGCACTGCCCCATCTGCAGGCGACGCCCCTGCAGCTCCCATTGGCCGTGGTTCCTGGCCAATGGGAACTGCGGGGGTGGCCCTTGGGGTGGGGGCAGTATGCGAAGTGGAGCCCCCTGGCTGCCCCTACGCATAGGAGCCAGAGGGAGGACATACTGCTGCTTCTGGGAGCCATGCGGAGCGGCCCCGACCCTGCTCCCTGGCTGGAGCGCCGAAGGGGGTAAGCCCCAGACCTTGCTCCCCAGCAGGAGCTCGAGGGCTGGATTAAAACGGCTGACAGGCCAGATGTGGCCTGTGGGCCATAGTTTGTCCACCCCTTTTGTAGAATCCCCATCATTGGAGATTTTTTAAGAACAGGCTGGACAAACAGCTGTGAGGGACAGTCTATGTTTACTTGATCCTGATGCACCGCCGTGGGCTGGCTTTGATTACTTCTCAAGGTCCCTTGCAGCCCTACACTTCTACAATTCTATGTTTAAAATTTAAAAACCCTCATCTTAATTCCCGTCCTTTTGATTCTGCTTTGTTTCTACACTTACCAACATGAAAACCTGATTGTGCCAGTGATAGCTTCTCCTCAATGTGATGACTTTGGGGACTCTGTACAACTTATACGTTCTGGTTGATATTATGAAACTGCTGTATCATGTAAGGCCTCTATGTCTCTGGCCATGTCTACACTACAGAATCTACAGCAGCATGGGAATGCCAGCACAGCCTCCTAGTATAGACACACTCTACAATGACATATTTTTCTTTTGGCATATGATCACCACCTCCGTGAACGACATTCGCTACATCAACAGAAGCACTCTTCTGTTGACGTAGGTGCATCTATATTGTCAGCAGAGCTACGTTGGTGAGGGGTGTATTTTTGTTCACACCCCCTGACACAGATATGCCAACATAACTTCTAAGTGAGAACAAAATCTGTGTATCCACCATAGCCAACAACTATGTTCCTCCTCTGTGAGGTACAATGACGGAACTCAGTGACCATCTATTCGGGATGAAGCACCTCGGGACAATGGGCTTGCTCAAGCTGCTATTCCCTGAAGTGATGGAGGGAGTGGAAATGATAGAAGAGAGAGAAGTGACCAAGCAAGAGGTTGCAAAGGCATTAACTGGAGGAAGGCTCCAGGAAACGCACAGGAAATTTTGGGCAAGAAAGGGGAAGGAGACAAACCAGTCAAGGGGAGGAGGTAAACTGGGAGAGACACTCCAGCTTTCAGAACCCAAGCCACGCAACTGCCCCAGACACCATGACCCCAGCCCAGAGAACATTCCAGTGTGGTGAGGAAACTGAAAAGGGAAATGCAGGTAGGGTTTATTATTTTAATATAGATTAGTGGCATGAGAAATACACGAAGAAAGAGCAAAAGCATTGGAGAACCCTGTGCAAAGTGTTTATGAGTTTATAAATGACACCCACCACCTGGTCCCCTTCGGGTAGGGATCTGAGAAGTGGTGTGTTGTGTGTTCAAGCTCTGGGAGGAGGAATCTGAGGGCTCCGTCAGCACTGGTTCTAGGGGCTGGGCCAGGGAATGAGTGGCCTCGGCTCTTGGCTGTGAATGCCAGATAGAAGACTGGCAGCTTGAGAATGAGACCAGAGGCCCTAAGACAGCAGCACTAGTAGAACTCTGTTAAGACTCTGGGGGTTTAAAACACCTAAGGATTCAGCAGCTGGATTCCCTCACAGCAATCTGGTGAGCGGGGGGGCTCAACTGGACAAGGTTGTCATCATTTAATGGGTTAGGTGTTAAATTCTGGATTTTAATTTTTCTAGCTAAGACGCTATTGGTAGAGAATGACTTAAGTCCTGGCATTGAATATTCATGCACGTTCATATTTTCCAAGTGCATATCAAACCTGTTGTGAGAAAGAATGGATCAAAATAGTGAACAAACTAAGATTGGAAAGACAGAGCTAGGTGAATGATGTACATTTTATAATCCGGGGCTCTCCTTTGTTATTCCAGTTATGATTTTTGTGTAATGCTCAAGTCGATAGTACCTTATGCAGTCTATCTGGTGTTGCTATTATAACAGCATCCGCAAACCTCTCTCTCTCTGTGGCTACTTTCCAGTCTGAAGGAAAAGAGATTTAAAATAGTGAGTCAACTAATGTCAGTAGTTGAGACAGCCTTTATGTTACAAAAAGTGAGCAAGTATAAAAAAAGGAAAAATATTATTTCACATTAAAAAGAATAGAACAAACTATTTGTTACTACAGTGCAAGTTTTATATACACCTCTTGAATTAATTCTAGGCTAAATTCCAAGTAGTCTGTTATACTAAAATTGATTCTATAATTAAGGCTGAGATAGTATTTTAGTGCCCCCTCTCTGCATTCACCGAAGTCAATTAAAATAGACTGAGCCTAAGATCCTATTTCAGAGACTTAACTTTCTGAAACAATTAACATGACATATGAAGGGACAAAAGGTTACAGCCCAAAGGAAATTTTTAGAAGGTCTGAACAAATCCTACTGAGCTCTTTTTTAAAATGTTTCACCACATTTCTAAAATGTTTCATTGTTACTTTCTAAAAGTCCCAAAATAAAGGACAATTATATTAATGTGGTAAAACAATTATTTTCTCAATCAAAACAAATATTAATATATTTAAATATACACAAAGCCTCTACATGCATGCTTACTTAATTGCACAGGATCATTTCATACAGGATTACTCTGAACTTGCTCTTGAAAGCAAGTGTATTAGACTGAAAAGCCAGTGATAGAATTAGTAACTGTAGGTAGTAGAAATATTCTTTTGCCTATTGCTTTTGGAGGCAGATATCCCATTTACGGTATTTTTGTAACACAAATCCACCTCACTCCAGTATTTGTTTTAGAGGGTTGTGATGGTCTACAGTGACTCTTTTCATCTTTTGCACAAACTACTCCTTGCAGTTGATATATGTAATACTTGCCTCAGAATGAAATCTGTCCAACAGTATTCCTGTTATTAGATTATCACAGGAAGTTCAAAAAATAATGCCTATGCCATCTCAATTCATAGATGGCAACTCTTAATAGGGATGCAGAAAATAAAATATGCATATTAGCCAGTTTCTCCCTTATTTTGCCAACTGTACCTTTAATACCTTTATATTTTTGTATGCATTGGCCCACTGGGCACCCCCAAAAATAGTAACTTTTGATAAGCAATTCAAAGTGTTCACTGTAGGCCTGTACTTAAATAAAATGGATTTTTAAGAAGTGTTCAGATGCTTCTTTTCTACTCAACTTAAAACAACTCCACTTTAGAACTTAAAATTTGGCTTGTATGCAGGTCTACTGAGAAATACTATATGTGTAAATACTATATATGTAATTTGCTATATTTGAAGAAATTGCTAAATAGAATCAGATGCAGTGAACGTCACATAATGTGGATTCACAATCACTTTATCAATAGAGACACAGACTGCGTGCACTCTTCCAGATGCACACTGAAATAGGCACAGTTGTGTTATTTCAGAGATCAGACAATCAAATAAATTTTTCCCCCTTATACTCCTAACTTCTGTCAGACATACTGAAATGCAGAAAGCCACAATAATCATTACTATGAAGTTCCCACCACTGCAGGTTTGCTTAAATCAAAGCCCATCATAGAATCATAGAATATCAGGGTTGGAAGGGACCTCAGGAGGTATCTAGTCCAACCCCCTGCTCAAAGCAGGACCAATTCCCAACTAAATCATCCCAGGCAGGGCTTTGTCAAGCCGGGCCTTAAAAACCTCCAAGGAAGGAGATTCCACCACCTCCCTAGGTAACGCATTCCAGTGCTTCACCACCCTCCTAGTGAAATAGTGTTTCCTAATATCCAACCTAGACCTCCCCCACTGCAACTTGAGACCATTGCTCCTTGTTCTGTCATCTGCCACCACTGAGAACAGCCGAGTTCCATCCTCTTTGGAACACCCCTTCAGGTAGTTGAAGGCTGCTATCAAATCCCCCCTCATTCTTCTCTTCTGGAGACTAAACAATCCCAGTTCCCTCAGCCTCTCCTCATAAGTCATGTGCTCCAGACCCCTAATCATTTTTGTTGCCCTCCGCTGGACTCTTTCCAATATTTCCACATCCTTCTTGTAGTGTGGGGCCCAAAACTGGACACAGTACTCCAGATGAGGCCTCACCAGTGTCGAATAAAGGGGAATGATCACGTTCCTCGATCTGCTGGCAATGCCCCTACTTATACAGCCCAAAATGCCGTTAGCCTTCTTGGCAACAAGAGCACACTGTTGACTCATATCCAGCTTCTCGTCCACTGTGACCCCTAGGTCCTTTTCTGCAGAACTGCTGCCTAGCCATTCGGTCCCTAGTCTGTAGCGGTGCATGGGATTCTTCCGTCCTAAGTGCAGGACTCTGCATTTGTTCTTGTTGAACCTCATCAGGTTTTTTTTGGCCCAATCCTCTAATTTGTCTAGGTCCCTCTGTATCTGATCCCTACCCTCCAGTGTATCTACCATGCCTCCCAGTTTAGTGTCATCTGCAAACTTGCTGAGAGTGCAGTCCACACCATCCTCCAGATCATTAATAAAGATATTAAACAAAACTGGCCCCAGGACCGATCCTTGGGGCACTCCGCTTGAAACCGGCTGCCAACTAGACATGGAGCCATTGATCACTACCCGTTGAGCCCGACGATCTAGCCAGCTTTCTATCCACCTTACAGTTCATTCATCCAGCCCATACTTCTTTAACTTGGCGGCAAGAATACTGTTGGAAACCGTATCAAAAGCTTTGCTAAAGTCAAGGAATAACACATCCACTGCTTTCCCATCATCCACAGAGCCAGTTATCTCCACATAGAAAGCAATTAGGTTAGTCAGGCATGACTTGCCCTTGGTGAATCCATGCTGACTGTTCCTGATCACTTTCCTCTCCTCTAAGTGTTTCATAATTGATTCCTTGAGGACCTGCTCCATGATTTTCCATGATCACTTTATCAAGATCTAACGATTCCCTCACTAAGCAGATCCCATCCTAACTCACACACTTTCCTTCAAAACAATAGTTCACTATTTTTATTCAGTACAGTGGAACTCCAATTATCCAATCTTATCCAGATCAGATAACCAAAAATCCAGGTAAACCAGATAATGGCCACCAGGGGCTGACAGCCCGAGCCCCAGCCAGCCGGGGGCTCACAGTGGTTCAGTTAATAAGGAGAGCCAGAAAATGGAGTACTCCTTCAGGAATTCTGTGCCACTGCACATACGCAGAATTAATGTCCCCCACAGATTTCTTTGCTTCCCCACAGAAAAATTACTTCTGACAGGGAAGCAAAGGGAACCCACAAGAGCAGTCATGCGCCCCTCCCTGGCAGCATAGGCACATTGTTCAGACACCTGGAGCAGCTTGCGGAGACGGAAATCACCACTGGGGGGGGGGTGTGCTGGGCTTGGCAGGCACGCATGCAGGAGGAGACATCAATCAATGCCGGGGGGAGGGGGAGGAGCTTGGCCTGTCAATGAACGAGACTCTGTCCCTCTCGCTTGCTATTGTGGCACACCTGGCATAGGAGGCAGGGCTTTGGTGTGTTTCTGAGGAGGTAGGCATGAGGCAGGCACTGTCAGGCAGAGCAGAATATAGCAGCCTGCCTGCTTTGTGAATTGTTCCCATTGTTCTAAGTGAATTCCCCCAGGAGTATAAAACAGGTGTAAAAGATTTAAAGGTCCTTTACATTGCCAGAGTGGTGTAAAGGAGCTGTATTGTAAACGACAGTATGGCCTTATAAATGCTTATGGTGCTTTAGTCAATAGAACTGGTCTAAATTTTTGGACTGAAAAATGTTCTTATCAAAAATGTGCTCCATGAACTGTTTACTACTGACCTTTTTGGCGATGGTGAGTAGCCAATATAAATTTTGATTCTCCAACCCTCACTTGCGCTTCAGTTGCCTATGATGTAATTCTGAGCATATGGCTGCATATATTTATTGACTAATAACTAGAAATAAAGGGTCAAAACTAGCTAGATTACTATTAGACAAAGGCAATTTGGAGATTTCCTCCAGTGCTCCCCACTCCTATTCTCCATCCATCATATAGTCATTTAAATAAATTACCAAAATAATTGAAACTGGCATGATTATATTGTGTTATTTTGACAAATAAAATATGCAGAATTTTAAAATGTGTGCAGAATTTTTAATTTTTTGGTGCAGAATTCTCCAAGGAGTAAATGGAGACTCAGTGAAGCAGGGTTCTACTGTATTTAAAAGTGTTTAGATTTCAACGGTAGATATCACATTATAGGTCTTATTGTTCTCACAGCAAAAACATTTCGCTATTACTGTAGAATTAAATGTCGCAAAAGGAAGACATGAGCAGATTGTTCTAACATGTACAGTCACCAAGGGAACATCATCCTTCTAAAGATGAGAAGTTATAGTTTTTTTAAACTATGTCAAGACTGCTCAAAGCCCTGAATGGGCATTTTTTGATCATTTTTTTAAATACAAAATAATACTATATTCCATAAATACAATCCCCAGATGTATGTCCTAAAAGGCACTGCATATGAACTAATATTAGTGTTTGGATTTAGAGAAATATATTTCATTAATTTAGTCTTTCATAATACGGCCTATAGAACAAGACAGTGAGGCAAATATTACCATTAAATACATTTTTCTTGTCAATGCTGTGAATCTTCTGAAGGTCATTTCTAGCAAAAGCACGAGGATCTGCAACTCCAACTACCTAAAAAAAGAAGAACATTGTTATGTTCTGCAAATAGCTGTGGGAGTGTCAATACCAGAAAGATGTCAACAAAAGAATTCAGAGAACAGCAACAAAGTGATTAGGCAGATGAAGACATTGACTAAAGTGAAAATATTCCAGGAACTAAGTACAACCTGGCTTGATAGCTATATGGGAAGAGGATAACCATTTACAAGTATACATAGGGTTTACACGTTAAGGAGGAAGAGGAATTATTTAGGACAGCATAATTAAGATTACATACAAAAAGCCAAGTTCAGTAGTTATAAAGTTAAATACCCAAAAGTTAATAAATGCCAGATTTACAGTCACCCATGAAACCTTAATTTGGCTCCCCTATGCATCTAT